TTTTGCTGCCATTATCAATAAAACCGCCATTCCCAAACCCAAACAACCAGATGTTGGTTCTAGTATTTTGAATTTTGAAGCAGATATGCAGAGATGGATTTCTTCTCTAAAGCAGGCTTGTCCGGGAGTGATTGATCCTGCTGTTTCAGACCAACTCTGGACACATTTCAGAGGATGGGTACGCGCTGAAACCTTTAAGCTGCAAGACCTAAACTATGAACAGGCTCAACAGAACTTCAGCAATCTGCTGAAAGAAGTTGAAGGACCAGTCTTAAGTCAGTTGCTGAAGGAGGAAGTGCTTCATCTGGACAGTGAGCCTTGGTCTGAAAAGCGTTCAGCATCAACAGTTCAACCAGCAGAAGATGTGTGTCAAGAAGAAGACATTGCAGAAAGCTCTCAGAAGCACCCTGACTCTGACATCTCTCAAGCTGCCTTGGACAGGCAGACTCTTGAAGAGCTGAAGCAAAATGATCTTCGTCTGTAAGAGAGAATGGATGAAAGTGATCAAAGGATGAAAGCAAGGATGGATGTTCAGGACAGCAAGATTGACTCAGTAGCCAGCATGGTGCATCAGCAGAAGGAAACCACTGATCAGATTAAGAACATGCTTGAGGCTCTGTTCACACGCCTTCCACCTGCACCTTAGTTTTTTTTCTCTTGATATTTTCATTATTTTCTTTGCATATCATCTGTACTATTTTTCTGGCTCTGAACTGAATACAATCGTTTTTCTGCACTGATTCTCTTACTTCAATTATTTTTTACTTCCTCAATTATGTGCACTTTTTGATTGCTGACAAAAAGGGGGAGAAAGACTGATATTTTTCAATAACGGTTTACTGAGACAAAAGTCTCAAACATTCTAACACTCTGATATACTTGAATGTTTTTGTTCTGCATAGCTTACAGGTACAAGAATCTGATAAACTCTAATACACTGAAGCTCTGATGTTCTGATGTTCAAAGAAAGTCAATAAAGATCTGATCCTAAAGAACTCATGGAATTAAAGGGAAGTAATAAATTCAGGGGGAGTCTTTCCGATCTAAACTCTGATACCTCTTTATCCCTTATCTTCTTATCTTTGATAACTTTCTATTTAATTCTGATACAACTTATTATTTGGTTATCTCTTATACTTTTCTCGTTAATTTTCAATTGAAAAAATCTAGTTTTTGTCATCATCAAAAAGGGGGAGATTATTAGAACAAAGTTTGAATCTACTACCCTAAGTTAAAGTTTTGATGATAACAAAATGCAAGATTATATAAATTATATGATTCATGTAAGACATATATGCTACCTAAAAATTATATTGTGTTTTACAGAAACTCTGATGAGTATCAGCATAAGAATATCATCATCAGCATCAGAAGATGAAATATCAACATCAGCATCAGAGGATGTTATATCAGATGCCAGAATCAGAAGATCAAAGCATGTGCTTACGCTGAAGCTTGATGAACAGATCTGCACGTAACAATCTAAACTCTGATCAAGACCACAACAATTCATCAGCACCTAGCAGCGTCAGAATAAGCCAAAGCCAGAACACGCTTAATTGGCAATGGTATTGTGCATTCAAGATACTTTTTTATCAACGGCATTATTCCAGACAAAGATCTTCTCAATATGGAAAGAATGTAATTGGCATTGAAACGGAATAACTGACTCCAACGTATCATTTCCAATGCTATATAAACAAGCAAGTGAGGAACGAATTGGCTAATGCTCTACAACTCTCTACACGCCTAAAGCGATTCATCTTCATCCTCATTCACATTTTGCTAAAGCTCTCAAATTACTTACTCTATTGTTTTAGCATTCCAGTTCTCATAAGCTTAATTTGTGTAGTATCACAGTTGTGATAAACAGTTTTGTAGAAAACATTCAACACACTTAGATTTCATTTATCTATAAGAAAGTATTTCCTTGAGAAACCGGTTTGTGGTTTTGACTCAAGAAGACTTTAGCAGTTGTTAAAGCAGTTGTAATATTCAGTTGAATATAGTGGATTAAGACCTCGTTGGAGAGAGGCGAAATCACCTTGACGGGTGGACTGAAGTAGTTTGTGATCAAACAAACCAGGATAAAAATAACGTGTTGTCTGCATTTGATTTCAAGTTTTACAATTCAACCCCCCTTCTTGTGTTTTTCACTTCTTCACCTCCTATTTTTATGCTGCCTCTTATACTACAATGCCTCTTGTGCCTCCCCCATCATGGCATCTACAACGTCTACGACCTCTGAGACATCAAGAAATAGTCATCTGTCAATATCCACCTGCCCAATCTCCATGATAATGTGACATCCAAGTGACACATAAATAACACGATCTACCTTAGCCTGCTCCTCGTCTAGTATCTTCTGATGATGTGGCTTCGGTGGATCTCCTAGAGCATCTTGTATCATATAAGGATATGACATCCTAAAGAACCACCAGATGCAATCATCTGCGTAGCTCCAATCGCCAGAAGCTATGTTACTATGTGCCTTTTGTGGGACCAGATGATTAAGATAATCATCAAACATCAAATCCATATCTCTATGTGTCATAGTGGGAGGAGAAGATAGAAAAGGGTCTCTGGGAATATACTACATGTAGCCAAACTGCCACATTATGCACTCTGGAAGATGAGTTACGTCGTACGTGAAACGTAAGCCAACCATCTAGAGTATAAGACTATGTCGTCAAAAGGGCATATCTCATGATGATCGACTTATACATGGAAGTGTATATCCTCTGCTACCAAGCAGTCGAGATATACTTAGTATGGCTTCATCGCCTGATTCCCTATAAGCAGGGTGAATGTAGAAGCACATGACATATCCTTAGTGTAGGTTGGAACACATGACCGACCGAATATGCATGGAAAGTGTTGGAGGGTCAAAGTCTGAAAATGAATAGATTAATCATTACTAATGGGGTTGCAAACATGATACAAAAATGACACACAAACACTAAAAAACTAAGAAATATTACTATCAATGGTGTGATGTTGCTTGCTAACTGTTTGGTATTCAACATACAACCTTCAGATAACTTGGAGTACAAGTATACCATACAAGCGGCCCCTAGTTATACTCTTGGATTCACTCAAATTCATTAAAGTATCATAAATATATGACATCTACATAAGTGGCACTCTTGTCCATAAAAATGGAAGTGCCAACAAAATACAACAAGTATGCTCTTGTAGCGTATTCTCTATGTTCTGTAACCTGTTAGTCATCACTATTAGCATACTATGCTCAAAGCAGCTCCTGTGTACACACTCTCTCTAGGAATCAAAAACTAGCATGACACATTCGGGTGGCTTCAAACTCTTTCATGGCATCCTCTGGGTTAACTCTCAGATAATCTACCAAAATCTACAATGCATCGTATTTGTTAGTCTTCTCATAATCCAAAAGTCCTCCCTAATCTGAAGATGCAGCAGATACGAGACATCATCTAGTGTAATAGACATCTCACCATGTGGAAGATGAAGTGATGACGTCTTCGTGTTCCATGTCTCTTCAAATGCATACAACATACCATGGTTAACCATAACATAACCAGTCTTGCGCAAGTCTTACATCCCAGATAACCGCAAAACATCCTGAAACCATAACTCATTAGGCCATTGCAAGCCAGTAATCTTCCGCCCATGGTTGATGCATTTTAGAGCATCACAATCATGCAGAAAAAAATCATCACCAAAAACTTTTAATATTTTAACAAAGATGATTTATAAAGAATGAATCCAACTAAATTTTACCTCTCCGTCCTAAAAGTACGGTCCGGGTAAAGAGGCAGCAATGACAAGTCTGACGGGTCTCCTTCAAGCCCCTTAGGTGCTTCATGTGCCTGGGGTGCCTTAGCTAACTTTTATGCATGGGGTGCCTTAAGTACCTCTGCTGCCTCGGGTGTCTAAATAGGTGAAACATGTCGCCTACGGAAAGAAGGAGGCATGGGTGCATGAATCGGGCTAAAGGTAACATGGCCTGCGATGATTTACTTTTTTCTCTCTAAACCGATGCATATTGTGCAATCATGTCGTGCCTCAATCGATCTTGTCTATCAGTCATAATGCTTGTAAGTAAACCACACAAGTGTTACACTTATACATTTGAAACACAATGAGTTCCAACAAAAATTGCTAAAAAATGCACTGCAAAAATTCGGAGATGCATCTCCGATTTCTGGGAAATTAAAACTTTGGAAATTTTCAAAGATGTATCTCAAGAATATTCTAGAACTCATATCAGCGTCAATGGCGTAACTATGGACCTCCAAAACAACATAAATAGTGCATTGATTAATAAAACAACCTATTAAACACATTTCTCATTTACATAACTTGTATAAATTGCCTATTTCATTACCTAATAATCAATTTCTACAAATTTATAGAGAAACTAAAATAAGATTAGAAAAAAGAAAAAAAACTTACTAGCTTTGAAGTTGGTTAAATAATTTTGAGAGAATGCGAGCTCTTTGATGAAGTTAGTGTTGATGGAAGAAGTTTTGAAGTTGATTGAATGATTTTGAGAGAATGTGAGTTGAGAGAAGTTGTGAAACTTGAGAGTGAGGAAAAAGAAAGGATTTTGGCGTGTCTTTGAACAAAGAGCGTTTAAAGATGCATCTTAGTAATTTACACGAAGATGCATTTCCGTAATTTTTTTATTGACTTAGGGTCTGATTCATGAATGTACTGAGTTGAGGTGTGTTCGGAGATGTATCTTCAGAATCTGAAGATATTATTGTATTTTTACGAGGATGTGTTAGTAATATATATGATGCATGATTAAGTATTAAATGATGTTATAGGGTGTAATTAGTACAAAAGTCTTCATAAAAGAGCCCAATTAATTTAACCCGACCCGGAGATGTATATTGATGTAAGTAAATACATGTTAATAGTTTACTAACTAACTCTTTATATTTTCTTCACCCAAAAAAATTCAAAATTTTGACCTTCCCGGTAATATCTTGCTCAGTACATTGAACTGAAGTGCGATGGAAAATGAAGAACCAGTTCTTCCTCAATCTCACGGTCTCTCTCTCTCTCTTAGGGTTTCGAATTTTCCCTCACAAACAAATCATTGCACTTCGTTTTTCACTTTCCGAATCGAATCTAGTTGTTCTACAATGCTAGGGTTTCGTTAACTTCAATTTCTTCTAATTGTTACTTTTTCTCTTGCTGATTACGCAGGTTGTAACATTCAAGGTATGGATCGGGTGGTGGCAACAATTACTGGTTACCATGAACCAGATAGATTCAACCTTATTAAGCTGATTTCGTATGCCGGTGCTAATTACGTTGGAATGATGTCAAAATCAATAACGCATCTGGTTAGTTTCTCCGTCGGTGTCCGAAACCGACACCCAAACTTGTGATTATATTTAATTTATTTATTTTCTAAAATTACTTCCGTTGTCCAATGTGTCAGTGTTGTGTTTCCGGTGTAGTTTGAGAAGCTCCGCAGAGTATTTAAGTGGCTTGGTTCTTTCCTCTATATAGATAACTTTTAACTTATGCTTTTCCTAATGTTTAGATACTTGTATAATTTTTTGTTATGACAAATGTTTTTAATTTTCAACGAGTAGTATCTAGTTATCTTCTTACCAAACTAGAGATTTGACATGATGATATACACAACTATGTTCAGGTGTGTTGGAAGTTTGAAGGAAAGAAATATGATATTGCTCGAAAATTTAGAATACCTATAGTCAACCACCGTTGGGTTGAAGACTGCATAAAGGAAGGAAGGCGTGTCCCGGAAGATTCTTATACCATGCAAAGGTGAATATGTTTTTCGATTTTCTTTTCCTTTTCTTTTTATGCCCGTTTACTGCAGAATTATAGCATTGGGTTTTAATTTTATATAATTATCATGGCCTTAATAGAAAAAAGAGAGCACTTTTGGGGAAATTCTTTTTATTTTTCTTGTGTGTGGATTAAAATGACTGTTGAAAATGCATAAACTGATCAATTTAATGTGATACGTTTTACTTTATATTGTGTACGAAATTTACTGTTACAAACAAGTAAAAAATCATTCATGGGTCTGAATCTAGTAGCTAAAACATTAAGAAAAGCTGCTTGTTAAGTGTTGTTAAAGCTAAAATCCCACAAGTTAATTCTCAACAGTTTTTGTTGTCCCGCGTTCTGTTTATTTTGTCATGTGATGGGCTTCTTTGTGTGGAGTCTAAGTTTGCTGTAGTTTGTTTTGTAGTTTGAGGTTTAGCATCATTGATCTTATTGACAAATAAGACGATATTTTTGTTTGGAGATCATGTTACTACTTACTGGTGCTTTCCTTTCTTTTGACCTGCCTTAATAAAATTTGGAGAAAACCTTTTCTTAAGTTCACTTCATTCATTATTATCATCATTACTATTTTCAGTGGACATGAAGTAGGGCCATTGTTAATGGAAGTTCCTGTCACTGTTCAAGCAAATAGCTTGTCGAAGAAAAAAGTGGTTAGTGGCAGTTTATGTGATATTCGATCTGAAAGGCAAAATAGTGACTTCAGTTCTTGGCTCTGTGGAATTTCTATTTTGGAAGATTCTTCTTTATTGAGAAAGGTAAATCTTTTTGCTCTCTCTGTTCTGCTCCAACTCGTATTCAATTGTTATTTCATGTTATATGCAATATTATTTTTCGTGTTACCAAAAATGTTTTGAATTCTGGTTCATAAGTAGTATGTTGCATCATTTTCTGAATAGGGTGGCAGCTTTCAGGGAGTGATGTGTTAACACTCATGTTATCAGTTGATGCTAACCATTATCTCAACTTGTTATTTATGCAGCAATAGACCATAGTTGTTCCATTTAGATCGAATGTATTTCTTATGGTGTCAGTTCAGGTTTCTCAAACATATCATGGTATTACTTAATACACTGAAAATTGCTTATCATTAATAACTACAGATGGTTCAGAGGCGAAGCAATGAGACTGTTTTCTTGTATTGCTTTGATTCATTTTTTAAGTTAAATAATCTGCAACTCTTTTGATGTTCTTGGCACCAAATATTTTGTTTATTTTTTTCTGCCAATGTCACTCTTCTGTCCACAAACTTGAACTCATATGTCTGTCTGCTGTTTGCATGCTTACATTCCTCGCAAATACAATATATTTTTTTAAAACTCATCACTAGGGGGGCTTTATGACCCTGTTGGGGCACTATGCTGTATGATGGACCAAACAAGTGAATTTATGTTCTTTTGGATTGTCTGTTAGTCTTATTAATTTCTATTTTCCTTTCTTCTTCAAGCATGAGGAGTCAAGTTCATATTCATCTAGACGGTCAAAGAAAGGTAAAAGAAATAGTGAGAATGAAGTAAGTACTGAAGCAAGACATTCTCGTAAAGGAAGAAAGGTTGTGAAAAATGCTGGTAGTGTGGCGTTAGACCCTATAATTTTGGATTTAAGTACAGACGACCAGCTTATCGAAATGGATCTACACACTGAAGCTGCAGCTACTTCTACCATTTCTAGCCGTGTCAATATTGGCAATATTCAAGAAAATAGTGAAGGACTTGATATTGGACTATCTAGACAAAGTAGAACTATCGATGGAAGTTCAAATGGCATTGAGCAGAGTAGAGATTCATATAATTTATCTACTCCCACAAATTCAACTTCGTTTGTTGAAGATCCCCTTCCTTTGACACAAACTTCAGTAGACTTATGTTCCAGTGCTGCGGAAAAGTCCACTGGTGGTGACATGGTTGATAATTTTGATGACTTACCTACTACAAAGGACTTGTCATGTGTTATATGTTTCACAGATTTCAGTTCAACAAGGGGGATTTTAGCCTGTGGACATCGGTTTTGTTTTCCATGCATCCAGGGTTGGGTTGATCACAGAGTAAGCCTTTTCCAATATCTATCTTTTACTATACATAAAACCTAATAATTGAAAGTGGTAAATAGATCCAATGATTATAAGATGACAATAGGCTTCTCATTCCAATCCCTCTTCAACTGTGAAAATATGTTTCAACATTTTAGCTTTATTTTTAGGTTTTTTTTCCCCACCTAGTGCTAAAAGGATTTTGTTGTTGCTGTAGTATATTGTCTATTTTTATTTCCCTTGCAATAGCTGGTATAGATTTACTCTACACATGTCATTTTCAATGTTTCTTTCATTCTGATTATTGCTTTTCAATATTTATAGATTGCAATGGGAAAAATTTCAACCTGTCCTTTGTGCAAGGCAAGTATTACAGGGATCATGAAAGTTGAGCATGCAGCCACCACTGATCAAAAAGTTTACTCCCAGACAATTCCATGTGACTACCCAGGCTCAGATATTTTTATCCCCATGGATCATGAATTTCGAAACAATAGCATAGAGGTATGCTTTCCATATTAAACTCCATTCATTGTTAGCTTATCTTTATTTTTTATTTATATCCTCATACTAGTTTAAATCACAAATAGTACTTGCACAGACTTTAGTTCTGTGAATCGTAATTTTCCCATTAAATCTATCAAATGCACTGCAGTTCTCTACATGCTAATATAGTATATACATCATTCAATTCACCTGGAATGACCACATGACCTTTTGTTAGTTACATAATTAGCTATCGAATGTCACATGATAGATAGTAGGGACTAAACAATTTCATAGTTTGGATGGATGAAAACCGAAGAAAAAAAATTTTAGGGACCAATACTAAAATTTGCTCGTTTTACATATCAAAACATATTTAGAACTTATATTTCATTCTACAAGACACTTTCGATAACATGTCAGAATAATTCATTATTGGCCATGTTTTGGCTGCAAGTTTTTGCATGTTGTAGTAAGATTTGGGTAATTTTATGATTTGTCTTTTGCTTTTCCAGTCCTCCCGTGCAGGTGCTTGTGTAATTTGCAGTGGTCGAGAACCTGAGGATCTACTTCACAATTGTGATGTTTGTGGAAGTCGAAGAATTCATTCCTATTGCATGGACCCTCCTTTACTGCCTTGGACATGCAGTCCCTGCAAGGAACTTCGAATGATTTATCGTAACCGTTCATATTAGTAATAATTTTTTATCCATTATTACAACTCATGGAACACTTACGTGTCTGGAGTTAATGCTGTTCTAAGAACACAGCATGTATGAAATTCGTTGTGATTGTGAAGAGACCTTGTTCACATGCTATAAAATCAAAGCAAAACTGTTGTTGTATTTTAAGTAACTTAAAATTCTTAACATCTGTTGCTTCAATTCTTAACTTCTGCGTAAATAAATTTTCATTGCCATGTTTGATGAAAATCTTAGGGTAAGTTTGTTTGATGGCCATCATAAGATAGACATCAAAATAAGCTATCACAATCATATCTTAATTATTTGATTATTCGATAAAATAACTTAATCATTTTTTTGATAGTATTATATATTTTTTTTGGAAAAAAAATTAAGAATTTAAAACAAAATCTCAAATGAAAAATTGTTTTAAATACTTATTTTTAAAATGTAATTTAGGTATTTTGTCCTTTTGTTATAATATTTTTATATTAAAATTTCAAAAATTATTTAAATTTGATGTTATGTCAAAAAAAATTTCATAAAAATTATTTTAAAATATTTTTTTTTAATAAATATTGCGATCTTGTTTATGTTTTAATTTTTAAGAATGTATACTTATGTTATAGAATGTTAAAATAAATTTTTATTTATTTATAAATAATGGATTTAAAAAACTTATAATATTAAATAAAAATGTTTTTATAAAATTATTTTGAAAATTCAAAAAGATAATGTATTATTTTTTAAAATTAAAATAAATTGGTCCTTAATCATGTATCAAACTATTAGTGAAAATTTGTTGTAAAGAATTACTAAAAGATTTGGCGTGATTGTTGTCGATATATAATTATTTTTATAAAATAATTAATAACTACAAATATTTAAAAATAAATATGTAACAAATCACAAACATGATAAATCAAATATATTTAATAATTATAAATATCACTAGTAATTATAAATATCACTAATAATTATAAATATTTAAAAATATTTTATTATTTAAAAAAAATAAAAAAAATATTGTGGTGATAGTAACCAATAAATTCTTTTATTTACCGTACTACGTTCATTTTTTCAATTAGATATAAAATTGTTAAATAAACACAACATGGTTAAGCCAGCATTAGAAAGATGATATGACCAGGATGGAGAAACAAATGATTTGACAACATATTTACCGCACTTCAACTTATTTACATCCATAAGTCCTTTATTGACAACATATTTACCGCACTACAACTTTTCTACATCCATAATTCCTTTATTAACCAAAGTGTATAAAGCTAAAGTTGAGTTGTGGAAATTTAAACATTCACAATGTAGACCTCAAAGTTCTTAACAACATCCTGAAAAACCTTGCATTAAATATAGTATTACAAATTACGAAAGGATCTAAGGATGCTTAAATAGGCAGAAGAAAATGCGATATGGAAAATTACAGGTGATAGGGTGTCGGCAACTACCGTGTCATGCTTGCAACCGTGTCAGAGGAATCTTTTGCTGCTCAGTCATGCAAAGGGCAATGGATAGTAAAACTTATTACCACAAGAACCATAGGGAGTTCAGCAGGATATATTCAAAGCAAATAACCAGAAACTTAAGCAAAAAAGTAACGAAATTTAAACGAAATGAAACTAACCAGCAAATATGTTTTAGAAATATATTCAGAATACGAATATGAAGGTTTAGGGTTTGCGCTTGGAGAAGGTGGTGGAAGGGTTTTAGAAACAGGTTGTTCAAACTTTATCATGGTGCATCTTAAAATTGATCTTTAGGGGTTGATATTTTAGAGAAATAACTAGACTTTGACCTCTACAACGCACGAGTTTGGTTTACTTTTTATATAACAAAACAATGTTAGTTAAATTATGATACTTTATAGCTTATCTTAAAATTAACATTAATGTACAAAAATAAATTGCTAGTAGAAAATATTAAAATTTGAAGAAATATATATTGTCAACATTGTGTCATAAATTTCAAAAGACTTTCAAATATACCCGTTGAAGTTACATTAATATATTATTAATTTTAATTAGTTATTAATAATAACTCAATCAATATATTATCAATTTTCATTAGTTATTAACAATAACTCAATCATTCTTTTGACCACTTTGAAGTAATTTTTGAAATTGTAACATATAAATGTGTTTCATTTGTAAATTAAGAAGTATTGGACATAATAGTATTTGATAGTACATAACAATACAAGATAATTTTTTATATTATGTATCATATATGTGTTGATGGCTAATGCATTTGACAGTTTTTTTTTCAATTTTACTTGATATATCTATACATTAAACAAAATAATATAACTTTTACTATAATATTATTTATAAATATATAAAACATTAATATTTATAAATCAAAAAATTAAATAATAAGAAGGAAGAAAAAAGACGAAGAAATAGATTTTTTTACACTACTTTATTTAATATATTTATGCAACAGACAAAATAATATAACTTTTATATAATATTTTTTATTTATATAAAAAATATTAATATTTGTAAATCAAAATATTAAAAAATTAGAAGTGAAGAAAAATGATAAAATTAGAGATTTTTTACTCTATTTTATTTGATATGTCGATGAATAGAATAAAAAATAATATAATTTTTATTATAATATTAATTTTTGATATATAAAATATTAATAATATATTTATGAATTAAAATATTAAATAATGAGAAAGAGAGGAAAAATGGTATTTTGATTTTTTTTTATAATTTGTGTTTGGATAAAAAATTGTCTCATGATTTAGTGGGGGACACAAATTCATGGTTCTGTCCAGTACCATAATTAATTTCTGCATCAAATAGGGTACGAAAAAGTTGTCATATCTTGTACCTCATTTTTAGTAAATTGTTGGAGCGGTGTAGCGGCAAACAACAAAAGTTTTGAAAATATTTATCCGAGAATTTATCGATTGGTTATTGAATTGTCGTTCGACAAATTCTCGCGTTTATGAGTTTGAGGATAAATGGGTTTGTAAAGAAAATATTATCAACATAAAATAAATGTAAACAAAAGTAAAAACTAAGGAATAACTTATTAAGCCTGCATAAAATCTAGTCATCATAGACTTAAATCTATCGACCAGTTACATTCAACCTAACAATACTCATCAATGTCACTACGTATCACTCATAACTTAAGTCATTTCTAACTCAAATTGAGAGACCGACTGTATGACCAAGGAAATGATCTCTCTACCTCCTCAACAACACAGAAGACAACTATGTAATCGCACTGACGATCTCTCAGCACAACACAACCACACAGAGGCATTAAGCTCTGATACCCAAGTAGATATCAGCTCTAAATCTATCTCTAGAATTCAAAAACTAACAGATAATCACCCTAGATAAGAATCTAAGCAGTATATGTCTATAACAACTCAAATCCGTAGCACAGAGCAAAAATCCAAGACAACAATCGGCAAAGATTTGTATAGCAAGTTCAATATAATGCCATGAGCGACAAATATACATGAGTTCAAAGTAAATACATATACAAACTCAACACATAAAGAATACACAAAGAAGAAGAGAAATAAACCACAAATCTATCAGTTTTTCAGTGCCGTTGAAGAGCAATCCACCCTAGATCATCCGTATGCAAGCTTCAATGTTGTTTTCTAAGAAAATCCTATAAAAAAATGAAGGATGATGGAGTTGGGGTCAAAAATACCCAAAACCATACCCAAAAAAATGTGTTTTTACCCATAAATACGCATTTCTGACTGTCATGCATCGTCCGACGACCTAAAAGCGTCGTCCTACGACCAAAATTGCATTTTTCCATGCTTCAGGTTGCTCCAGAATTGCCCGGCGACTAAAAAATGTCGCCCGACGACAAATGACAGAAAGTTGAAAAACCAGCACAAATTCAGCTATAAGTTTTGAACCATAACTCTGATTCACGCACGGTCGAAAGTGTTGGAAAACTTATTCAATTCCCTATCTAACAATGCCTAAATATCAATGCTTGAATACCTACAAAAATGATATAAAATCAATTAAACTCAATGATATTTACACAATAACGCAATAAATACACTATAACGTAAACTATACCGAATATACACTAAAGTTGAAGTTTATTGACAAAAAACAAACAAATTAAGCCGATGAGTGCTAATTATTCACACTCAAATTCAGAATAATTTAGCACTCATCATAAATATAAGGCATTCATAATATAATTGACAATATAAAAAAAACTGATGTGAGAAGACATACTCTACCATGTTTAAGTGATTGTCGTTATTTTTTTTTATATTAATAGTCATTGCAAACAAAACAATCATTGAAAATTATCTTTGCCAAAATTTAAAAGGAATTTTTAGATCATATGATCTTAAGATAATTTTGGTATAATATTTTATCTAATCCCATCACGCACGCGACTGCACATAATTCATGCGTGATTATTCCAGTGACTCACACGCGTTTTGTCCTTTTTCAACTAGATTTTTTCCAAGTTTCCGTTTCTTCATACTTTGTATGTTTTGCTCCATTATTGGGATATTCTTCACCAAATTAAGTGATCTTTGTCTCAATTTTCTCCATTTTTTCGATAGAATATATGTAATAACAGAGTGCTATCACAACCCCAAACTTAATATGTTACTTGTCCACAAGTAACTTGTCTGCAACTGAAAATTTCAAACAGAAACACAAAATAAAACAACAACTGAACATCACCATAATTATTTTTACCTTATCACCGTTCTAGCTTGTAACTTCAATCCGAAAAAATTAGGAAACCTCCTTAACTTATAACAAGTACATAACATGTCTCTCATGTCACTAAAATTTGCTCAATTGACATGGTGATCACTTAATCAACATACAAAACTACTTATACTGAGTTTGATTGTGGTCTAACAAAATTTATCACAGTAATCAAAACACACACACACACTTTGAGGAATTTTTTGAATGTAACGTGGCTTAGATTCAAATAGGATATTTTTGGGAAAGTGAGTTTAAATC